ATTACAGTATAACCACCAGCTCTTGGCTCGTGTCCACCACCAAGCCCTTAAGGCTTTGGTGGGGTGGGAGGCAAGGTCCCACCATAATGCCACTCTTGTGGCTCTGCTTCAAATTCAGACGGGTGTGTAGTGCACCCATCTGGTCCGGTGGTGGTTCTGTCCCCATCGGTCCCCCGTAGGTTCAGTTGAGCCTCTCTCGTAGTTAGCGTAGGAGTAGGAGTAGAGATGACAATTCAAAAAAAAAAAAAAAAAAATATCACTTGTTGGATAGGCTACAAATGAACATCACCCTCTGAAACTATCAACCCAGGGTTGGAAAATGTATCCTAAAATTAGAGAGAACATTTTCATATAGTTATGTGGGAGTTTTAGCCAGCCATAGACTCCAATTTACTGATAATGTGTGGTATCTTTGGTTAGACAGGGTATTAATTTGAAGCTAACTAATAATAGAATTGTTGTTACTTGCACGTGTTGCACAGCAAGTGCGAAATTGAACTAAAAATTTTCTCGTAATAATGCTAGAGGATATTGTCCAATGACTAATAAATGAATTTATGGCTAGTTTTAAAAAGGTTGTCTCTTAACCAATTGAAGAGCTACTATCATTATTTTTTTGGGTTGTAAGGCAAGGCAATTTATAATTGTTGGATTTTTGTCTAGTTATAACACGCAATTTCTCATACAAAGGAACAAACTTACCGTTATTATTTTTGGGTAAATCACACATATCCGCAGTGGATTTACAGGTCGTCACATGACCTCTCTAATGTAACTAAGTGTTCACATTACCCCTTATGGTTTCATGTAAAGTGAAAATTTGACAGAAAGTAAATTCCTTAACGTCTTAGTTTAAATATTAATATTGCTCTTATTTGATCACTAAATTGAGTAACGGCTTGACCACCTTACTTAAAAACAATAAGGGATTATATAGACAAATACAAAAACTAAATGGGGTTAAAATAGATATTTATGCAAATTATACAGTGTTAAATATATGTTATAATTCCATCACACGTATTTTTCGAGTGCATTCAGTTCAACCGTATGGAAATTTTAGAATCTTAGAGGAACCATCTAAAAATATAAAAAATCATAGAGGAATTATGTATAATTTACCCGTATTTTTATCAAATTAATTTCACTAATCTTGAACTAATAGAGGTAGCTAGGGCACTTAGCAGACAAACTCTTCATATTGCTTGCGCTGCTTATATATGGTTGAGACATGTGACATTTATACGTTCACCACTGCCAAGCTTTAGATTCATATTCATATACATAGACTTTGTACTAATTGACTATTATATTAGTAGAATGATATTTTGATTCTACATACATTCTATGCTGTTGATGTAATTCCTCGGATAAGCTAGTGATGTATTACCCTCAAATAGAAAACACCATTCCTCTTCTTTTTGTGCCCTCTAAGGTTCCATTGGGCATCATGATGGACTAGTATGTTCAACATTCTTTGTATCCATAATTTGTATGTGAGATATTTATCTTATTATTGAAGTTAACAGCGTGTGAAGATGAAATCAGTTGATAATTCTTCTAATGAAACGAAAGTGAATGTCAGATGTCAAATAACACCTAGTTTAGTTTTCCTTTGATTCATATAATGAATGTTGATCACACAAAGGGTTTTATAGGGTATACAACCACGTCCTCATTAGCCAACACAAGTTGGTTCAATTGGCAAGAATGAAACATTTTCTCACAAAAATCGTATGTTTGAATCCTTTTGTTACTGTGCCAATGTGAAAACTATATTGATGGATGATCTATAAGAATTTCTACAACCATCTAAAGTCCCAAAAATATATGTCCTGACTCGTGATAATAACCACAGTCAAATCCATCCAAACTTTTTCCTACATAAAAAAAAAAACCTACATGCATGCTCAGCCCTAATACACTTAGCAAAACCATTTCTAGTTAGAATCTCTATAAACTATCTATGGTTCTGGAAACATGCTCTTGACTTGTGGCAATTATCGGAGCTAAATCCATCCAAACTTTTTCCCACATAAAAAAAAAAAAAGAAAAAACCACATCCTCAGTCCTAATACACGTAGCAAAACCATTTCCAATCAGAACCTCTATAAACGATGTATGATTTGGAGACATATTCTGACCCGTGGTCATAATTGGAGGCGAACCCACCCAACCTTTTTCCTATGTAAAAAAACAAAAAAAAAAAAAAAAGAAGAAGAAGAAGAAACCATATCCTCGGTCATAATACACTTAGCAAAACCATTTCCAGTCACCAAGGATTAGGAATCATGGGAACATTATCTTAAGTTTTGGTCAGATAATCCCATTATTATAAGAGTCATTAGATTTCTAGGTCTAGATTACAAAAGGTACTAAAAGCACAAATGACAAAATAATTGTTGAATATACAATATATTTCCCAAAAAGGCGTGGTCCGGGCCGTTCTCCAAGAAACATCTTTTGCTGCTTTGCTCACCTTTAGATAGGCAATTAGTAGTATTTATCAGTTTACTTGATTAATACCAAAAAAAGAAAAGAAATTGATACTGTCTTCCAATTTCTTAATACTGTGTGACCAATTGATGATTACTCAGGTTCAACCAATTGACTTCTTTTTTTCATTTTTCTTCGAATTAATGTTGTAATTTATCAAGTTCTTTTTTTTTTTTTTGAAAAAAAAAGTAATTTATCGAGTTCTATACGAAGGAGTTAGTGGTAGCTTAATATGTTACTTGTATGCATGATAATAGGGTGTTACATCATAATATTTCCTTGATGAACATATGATACAGAAATTTTTAATACAAAGTTTTGAGTTGGTTGGACTAATTCGTATGTTAATCATTAAGAGTGCTTACAACTAATACCGTCAAGAAATTACCATTCCAACAACTATTGTGATAAAATATGAGCCTCTCTGGAGACTGCAGGGATATGCTTTGTTTCTCATTGAAAAGATAATAAAAAATTTTATCAATCATAGCATGATTTGACAATTTTTAAAAAAGAGTTAAAACTGTGTGTTTACGTAATCAAGAAATTTAATTAGCAATCAGTGGCTGGCATCTTGACAAATAACCATACATTCTTATCCTTGACGTGACTCTGCTAACCTTTTGCTTTTCTCATTGCTGAGACTTGAGAGATTGTGATATATGATGTTAGGGGAAGATTGGACAAATTTTCCCAAGATTACAGCATCATCTTCCTGCTTTTATTTGTTTCTCAAATTTAAGCGCTATAACTTGTAAGACGTGCGATACACGTAAGCCTGTCACGTAACTTGAGCAGATTTGTCAACTGCGTTATAATTTTTTTTCCTCTCTTTTATTTCACTTGCGCTTTCAATCATTTGGAAGTTTAAGTTAGATAAAAATGAAAAGAAATAGAGAGACTTCTTTTTTTTTTTTGGATAAAACATCATAATTTTGTTAAAATCTGCACTAATGGTAGAAGTTACGTCATCAAACATACACAGATATCAAAAAATAAATATGAAAAATGAATGCCACAGAAAGGAAGAATATTTTAAAAAATGAAATAAAATAATATTTACCTCAAGAACATCATGCGTACTTCCAATTATTAGATCTGCTAATTCACTAATATAATTTCGAATATTATGGTGACTGCTTCAAGTTCAATTTAGATATTATGATGACATTTGTCGAGTAGACCTAAAAAAACTCAGATCTAATAAAGAAAAATGAAAAAACTACCTAAAACTCGCACTAGGAATCCTTAAGAGAGAAGAAAACTCTCACTAGAAAAGTTTAAAAAAGAAAAAAAAAAACTCTCAATAGACAATCATGCACCTATGAGAGAAGAAACTCCCAATTAAAAAATTGTAAGAGAGACTTTATTAGCATGAATGAAAAGAAACTATTTATACAAATGAAAATAAACTAGAGCGAGAGGTCTTCCTATGGGGAAATATCAGGAAAATCTGATCCCTCTCTCCCATGGGAAAGTTGAAAGAAGGTTTGGCCAGAGAGCTTTTCTAAGGAGAATGAAAAAAGAATAATTTTTTTAGAGAAAAAGAAGAGAGAACAAAGATTCAGAAAATAGAGAGACTTGATCAATACAAAATGACTTATGTTTAGTTTCTCTTTTTCATCTCTCATACGTGGGAAAAAATCGAGAAAATTTTTTTTTGTTTTAAATAAAATTTTTCGTAATCTCATTCTTTTCTCTTTCCAACTCTCTAACAAAGTTGCATCACTTTTGGTTCTTTGGCTTTTCATTTTCTTTCTCCTTCTCGTTGTAGCGGAATAGACGGCACAAATATGAAATAACTTGCACGCAATGATGGCAAACGCACATGACGTAGCCGACCGCCCCAATCGTACACATGACCATACTGTGTGTGCGTAAAAATAATTCTAAGTTGAGGTAATTACTTATTTAGCTCTTAATGGGTTGGGGGGGGGGGGGTTTAGGGCGAGGGACTGGAGGGAGGGGCTGGGGGAGTTATTTGACAACAGGGGTCCGCCCCAACCCCGTTCCATTGTCACCCTTAATTTTAATATGTACTAAATTTTTTAGATTGGTTTGATTGTTGGATGTATGGATTGTAATTATAATATTTCTATTAATATTAATTGGAAAGCAGGTTTTTTTTATATTGAAAAATAGGTTGATATTAATTGAAAAATAATTTTTTTATTTGAAAATAGTTCTTTTTTTTAAGACGGGTACTCTGTGACCCGATTCTTTTTTTCGAGTACCCTAATAGCAGCGAGTATCCTGAGACGTTAAGAACGAGCTAGGATCGTAAAATGACTGATCCGATGTGTTAGAGTCGAATCCAAACCATATTAGGCACAAACAATCCAATCCGTGCCCACCTCTATTGCCACATTAAAATTTTTGCATCTTTGTCCAATTTCAGATTTTCTCTCCTTTGGGGCTTTAATGGACATTAGCCCAAACACATCTAAGCCCACTCTCTAAATTTCGACTCCTGAATGATATAAAAAAGGAACTTTATAAGTGAACCAGAAAATACAGTTAGCCATGGCTGGTATTGTAACTGCCACTCAATCTTTCATCACCGCCCCGCCTCGACTACTCTGCCGCCGGCAGCCGCAGATAATCAAGCATAACCTTTTCTCTTTTCTTTCCTTCTCGAAAATGGGGTTTGATTCCTTGCAGAAAAGCTTTAATTTTCCAGTAAGAAAACTAGTGATTAGAGCAGCTAGAGCCGAGTCCAAAGGCGTCTCTCTTGGTTTCAGAGCACCCCATTTTGAGGTCCGGTTTGATTTTATTTTCAATTTTCTCGTAGAATGTAATCTATATTCTTCTGGGTTCTTGTTGATACTGCTTCATATTTTTCAAATTTTATGTCTTATATGCAGCAATAAAAAAAATTGAGATGTAATGTTTGTTTACGCATTCAATTGAGTCAAAGCTAGCGTGGTAATGATTTTCATTAGCTACTTCACTTCAAAGGAATTTAAGGATAGAATTCAGAAATTTTGAGCATAAGTTTTCATGCTTGCGTTTGAGCATATTGTTAAATTTCAATTTTTTTCCTTTTTATATATGACTCTGAGGATGCTGGATGCAGCTTCCGGAGCCGCTTACGGGTAAAATGTGGAAACTGGAGGACTTTGAACCGTTTCCTGCATTATTGGTAAGATCTAGGCCATCCCCACTAAGGGTTCATTCCGTAGAATGGTCTAAAATATGTTCATATGACTGCTTTTTGTCAATGCGCTGAAGGATGTGAGTGTTGCAATTCTTTGAAATCGTGGTTGCCAGCATATGCATGGAGTAGGATAGTGTGACTGTTTATTATTAGAGTATTTTCTATTCTGAGAAATCTGGGTTATTTCCTATGGTATTGCACTTTTTAATACAACATAAAGAAATATTGACATCCTTATTTCTTTTCTGAAAATAAGAAGGTCGATATTGTCGAAATCAACTTCAAAGTTGATTTTCTCTTCATCAAAATTTTGATTTGCTATCTGCTGCTCGGATATGAGGTGCAAATGCCATGGAACACAAGAAAATCGCCTATCTGGTCTAGACATCTCTCTATAAGCACCAATAAATAGTATAAAAGGACTGACCCATTTCCCATGGTTAATCTCAGAATTGCCAGAACAAAGATATTAGGAATAGTGGTTTTCCAAACAATTGAAAATGCAATTTAAGCTAGCATTGACAACAAAAGAAAAGATGATTTAGTTAGTTGTCTTCACCTTATATCTGCTTCAGGTGTAATGAACAATTTCCAGATCCAAACTAAGATTGGATATGGGAAGTAAATTCGAGTAAAGAATACCTACATGCGTGTGTGGGTGCAAGTGTTGCAGTTCAGTGAGTTGAGATATCTATTGCTGAATGAGCACTTGTTAGGAATCGATTTTTAAGGGTTTGATGTGTGTTAGGTTTTTGAAATTTTTATTGGGTGAGTGGAGAAGAGGAGAAGGGATAGGCGGACAAGGAGAGGAAGGAGTGGAGAAGAGAGAAATGGACCGGAAGTTTTGGAAGAAGAACAGATACTAGAAGTTGATTTCTGTGGAATCAACTCACAAAATTGACTTCCCCGTTTTAGGAAGAGGAACAAAAGCATCAATATTTTTTTTAAAAATTTGGAATAAAAATTGCAATGTTGTGGTAAATAATCCAAGCAATCTTTGAAATGGCATCATGAGGTAAAATAAAATGAAGAAAGGATAGAATTATGCTATTTTATCATCTTTGAGGACCAGCCTACATGCAGGAAAACCTTGTGAAACATGGAGACATGCTTAGGAACATATTTTATGGTGAAAGTGATTGGTAAGGGAAACATAAATAACTTGCTTGATCATGTATGCATGAGCAGTTAAATTATGCATCAAAAGTTTGAATTTCCTATCGAATAAGAGTTTCAATGTTTAGTTGGTTTATTTGGTTCTGGGGAACTATATGTGCTAGTATTTTTTATTTTTCTTAGATTTAATGAGATTGTTGACTTGTCATAAAATTGAAAATCTTTAAAATTTATTGGTGATTAATTCAACTTTTTGGTAACCTAGGCTTTGACATGAATACCAAGATATATAAACCTCATGTTTTCCCTTGATAATTTTTTTAAATACAGTTGCTGACTAAGATTATAACAAAGGTAGGACCTAGAGTGAAGAAGAATAAAGAATTTTGTTGCTAAGTGGTCTATATGGTTCTTAATCAAAAAAGTATTCAGGTGATTTGATGCCTAATAAGTAAATCTCAGATATTTAAGTTAGAACTCTAAGAATTTTAGAAGTTGGGATTAAGAGTTCGGAAATTGGTGTGCCTATAATGCTTAATAAAATTATCTCGTATTTAGTTAGCCGTCCTTATTAAATTTTGAAAGGAACCATTGATTTTCCATCTGGTATTGTGATGCACAGTAACTGATGCTTAATGCCTTAACCATATTAATATATTTACCGTAGTCAACAGAGAGTCTGGTTGTAAATTTAAGAATTATTCGAACCATTCAAGAATTTCCTTGTTTAATCTCCCTAATTTATTAAGCTGATGACTCTGTTGCACAAAGAAAGGTCTTGGAAAAAGTAACTCTTTGAGGTGGGGCATTAAGTCTTTGGGAAGATGCTATTAACTGACCTGATGGTCAAAAAAGAGTTCTCCCCCTCTGTTTAAGAGATGCTTTCTTGTTAATGGAGCTTATTGCTTCCACCAGCGTGGTGCATATCATAGGAAATAGAATTTCAGGTGGCTGTGATAACATGGAGCCTAGGATCTGAGAAGGGGTTCTTTTTGTGTCTTTATCTCAATTGGTGGTTTTTAAGGGATAAAATTTGTGAAGTCGATGTTGTCAATTCTCTAAGAAGTGCCATTTCAGTACTGAACTTTGTTGGTCAGAAACTACTGCAACCGTTGTTTGCTTCAAGGGGTTTGAAGGATCAGCAATGATATTGGAGGTGATGGTACCCATTTTCTTCATTGGCACCGGAGTGCCACCACTGCCCTTCTTTCCTGATCCTTAGCCTCCTCATCCCAACCTCAATTCCAACCCACTCTCCTCCAGCCTTTTCACAAGCATAGCACTATGCCAATCCAAATGCCCAGTCCTTTATATCCTCTACTTTTAACCACCGTTACAATTTCTATTTGCTCTCACTACTTGAAAAAGGATATAAATAAGAAGAGCAGGAATCAATTTAGCTGCGAAGAGAAACGAAGACACTCATATGGTGGTTTGGGTTGGGTTGAACATGATGCTTGTGGTTTGAGGGTAGGGGTGCTAAATGGGTGGACCTACAGTTGTTTGTAGGCGTTTTAGAGAAGTTGGCAGAGGTTTGGGTAAGGAAATTTTTGGGGGTTGGTAATTTGAAAATTTTCTTGAGGGGAATTATGTTCACCCCTTAATGCAATGCCAATTTTGTGGTAGTTGATAACATAAGTGGGCAATTCAGCACCACTGAAAATATGGGGCAGAGTATGACTATAAAACATGAGGGCATGCTGTATCCTATATTTATCTATGCAGCAAATTTTGCAAATTACAGAAATGTAATGAAACAGTTGCTTCAAAGTTGAAATGTGGGACTAATATTAGATATATGCAAAATATAAGGCCTAAATTGTGTCAAGTTGAATGTAAAAGACTAAAGTGAAACAATGCAAAGACCTTGGGGACTAAAATATGGAATTATCTCAAAAAAAGATATGCAAGCTTTCAAAAGAACTCCAAACTACTAGGAATCTGGCAAACTTTTTTTTTTTTGTGCAAAATAAATTTTCTCATTGATCAAGGAATTGAATTTGTACACTTGAATATACAATCATATGTATCTTCTATCTCACTAAACAAGGCATTTCCATTCTACTCCCCATTCTAGTACTAGTGTCTAGCTTTCTTGAGTTCTAGGATATCCTGACCATGAACTGGTTACATATCTCACAGCTTCAATAATTCCCTTCAACAACCCAACAGTTGAAGCATGTCCTGCCTGAAAGATCACTGTGTTTCTCAGCCTCCACATATGGTATATTGTAGCAGCTAGGCAGAGTCTCTTGAGTTGGTGCGCAAAGGATTTAGAAGTCGAGTGAGCTGCAATCCATGCTAATTCCTCCTCCCAATTATAGTTACCTCTATATATCAGACACATCACCTGCACTTTCTTCCAAACTGCCCTTGTGAGTGCACAATAAAAAACAGATGCTGTATGCTCTCCTCTTCAGTTTACAAAACACACACCTATCAGAATCGGGCAAACTTGCTGCTTAATCATGGCACTTGTCATCATAACCTAACAAATCTCTCTCTCTGACATCACTTCATCTCTTAAAATGTGTTTCTGCAGGTTATGTTCATTTGCAATCACTGCCCCTTTGTTAAACACTTGAAAAAGGATATTGTAAAGCTCTCGAATTTCTACGTGAAGGTAGGAAGGTAACTGTCTGTCTTGTGTTCTTGCATTCGAATCACTTCTCAAATTGCTAGAACTGTACATTAAGAGTTAATAGCAACTATTTTTTTTGGTTTCTGATGCAGAAAGGGCTTGCAGTAGTAGCGATATCATCAAATTCTACAGTTACTCATCCGCAGGTTTGGATGAACTTATCCTCCTGCTTTATGAAATTATAAAGCCTCCACCTTACATGTATTACTCTGATCTATTCCTTGAAGGATGGACCTGAATTTATGGGAGAAGAAGCAAAGCTATTTAAATATCCTTTCCCATATCTGTATGATGAGGTTAGCTTTCGCAAGTCTATCATTGCCCTTTCTATGTGGCTTATTTGTTCCCATCTTGAATCCTTTTGATTCAATTAGTAATCTGCTTTCCTGTAGTTTTCACTTAGTGAATTGCTGACAGTTGACATTTGCCCGTGTCTAGTTTAAGTTTCTATATGAGTATCATCAAATAGCTCTGTTGGATATTTAATAGAATTTTTAATGTATGTTTGATTAATAAAATTTGACTATTATCTTGATCGCCATGATAAAAGTAAGAAAAGAACTCTATTAAACCAAAAAAGAGATGATCAAAACTAGACTGCTTATTGGTATGGTGTTAGACTCGAGAGACGCTGCCACTTATTACCTTGTGTTGACACTGGGGTCTCAGGAAATTTTTCTGAATCAAAACACTGGTTGACAAACCATGTCCTGATTAATTCATGGCAGTATGTAATTTCAGACTCAGGAACTAGTTGGATTGCTATGTTTACTTGTATCGGTCATATATCCAATTACTGATATTTTTATTGCAAATTAAAAAAAAAGGTTGTTTGTTTTATTAGCTTTCTGAAAATAGCAAAATCAGTTCCTAGGAAATCACTCTGAAGTGATTCTTCTTTCTTCTTCTTCTTCTTCTTCTGTTACTGACATTCTTTTTTCCCAAACTCCCTCCACTCTTCTCCTCTTTCTCCCTCTCTTCCTCTTCTCCTTCTCCTGCCTATCCTTCTTCATCAATTCTCTATACTTGTACGAGAAGGAAAAATAAAGGAGAAGAGCAGCCTCAAAAGCAGACCTTGTGTGGAGCCTCCTTCAGCATCTTTCACTCCCAATAATTCCCTCTCCAACCACCATCAATATAAGAACTACACCCATAGTGGTGCCTTTTTTCATTTTTGTGTAAGCCAAGTCCCGACAGCCTGAAAATTGCAATCACAAAGATGGTAAAGTAGATTTCAGGCAGAATATGTTAGTGCTGTGGGTTGGGGCCATCAGGCTGTCCTCATGGGCTTTGAGTCCAAAATACAGTGGCATTGAAAACAGAAGCTAGCCTTCCTCATCATCAGCATGATAAGAACAAAACCTATTAGGACTAAAAAAGAATTATACCAAAGAGAAGAAAGTGCAGGGTAAGAATCAGAATGGAGAGCGGTGAGAAGTTGATGATTACAAAACTACGACTTTTACTACTAATGTTGGGTGGGTGTGCATCAAGACTGAATGGATTGTTTGGTTAGAAGATCTGGAGAAGAAACTGGAGGAGTAGGAGGGCAGAGTAGAGGAGGAGTGGATAAAGTTTGGGGGAATAAAGAAAAGATGAGAAAAAAGAAGAACTCTTTAAAGTCTATTTCTGAGAAATCAATTTTAAGACATCTATTTCCTTTTGGGAACAACAATAAAACCAACATTATTTCTCTAATTTCCAATAAAAATATCAATATTTCGGTAAATAACCTTGGTATGTCTGTTTACTGTTTTTCCGATTCCAAGTAAGAGTTTTACAGTTAAAGAATTCTTTGAACCTCAGTCAAAAACTTTGAAACAGAAAAGCGTGAACAATGTTCTATATTTTATTTTGGTGGCTGACTTAGGACGTTTATATGAGTTGAATTTCAATACATGACTTGTTGAGGTTCTGGTTTCCTCGTTTGCTCCTCAAGGAAGCAGTATCAACAGAATAAGTTCTGGAGTTGACTGTGTCAAACTAATATTCCTTAGGAATCAAATTGATATGAGCCTAATACACATATGGCCTACCTCAATTGCTTGGTAAGATGATTGGTAATGTTGTGTGACCTGGTGCACTGGGACCACCCAATACCTACTCGTGCAGACAGGTGTTAATGGGGATAAAACCCAAATTCTTTCAGCCAAAACTTCAGAATGATAATTTGGTAGCCTGTAGTTTCTCTTATCAATGCTTGGTGCTTCTTTGCTGTAACATCACTGTGCTAGGCAGCTCATCTTTAAATCAATCTCTTCTTGTTTAAATAAACCTGCAGTTGAATGAGTACGAATCATTTTTGATTGGGGACAAAGATTCCCAAGGCATTTTATTATTGCTGAAACTACGAAACCATCTCACTGGTCTACATCTCTTGTGGAAGTACCCAATTGATTTTAGAGAAAACTTGTTAAAAAGAAGCAATACAAGTGTCTGCCACTAATTTTTATTTCGGTTGGTAAAGTACTTTTTGCTTCTTGTTAGCAGCTTTAGAAGAAGACTGGCTCATTTAGGATTGTGGCTGTCATGGAAAACTGTTTTATGATAATGTGACATTCCATAGCCTTTCTCTTATATTTAGTGGGTATTAGCCTTTTATATTCACTTGCTTTGATTGTAAGCCCATTATGCTGTGGATTTTGGATTATGAGTTGGTGTGTATCATAAATGAGTTCATACCACTTCCCCTTATTGTGCTTGTGCTGGTAAGAAATATTACGAGCCATATAGTTTGAGGTCAACAGAACTGATAGCAGATGTATGTTAATAACAACAGAAATGACACATTACAACAGTAGTTCTTAAGAATTATAAACTCGAAGCTCTCTCTCTCACTCATAGAATTAGATCCAGACTAAGGATGGCCATGAGAAGCCTTAATAACAGAAAATCAATCACTTACATTTATACCTTGGCAGCCTTCAGCAAAGAAGGTTAGAAGGAGCATTGCGCTGACATGTGGGCATAACCAGATGGCACAGTTTAATAATGGAATATGTGCAAGTGGTATCTCCTGCATCAAATGTTGCTGATTGACTCTAAACCATAAAACTTGAGAAGGAGGCAATTGAGTGTAGCTTAATCTAAATTTTATTCCTAGTGGTCAAAATTCCCATAAACGAGCAACCAAAAAAAAAAAAAATTTCTTCTGATCCTATGTTTTTTATAGAATCCAACCTTATCACTGAAAGTATTACAAGTTCTAACAATGTATCATTGCCAATGAATTCCTGGTGCAGCCTTAGTGTTTAAACCACTGCATACAGTCTGGAAATGTAAGATAAGGAACCGTTTTGCTGCTGAAGAAATTCTGTCTGACATCCCTGTAAATTCTGAGATGCAATTGTTCCTATTTCTGGAAGTCTCAGAAGCTCAAAATTTGCTCCATTGCCACTTAAAATGGACACATATAACTTCATACTTCAAAAGAATCCCCTGGAATCCCGGAACTTCTTATCAAACTTTTCATAGCCAATGCTTTCTTTTGGCTCCCCTTCGGTCCATCTCTGTTTAAGTCAAGTGTTATGGAACAAGTAGAACTATCCGTGTCACATTGTTGAACAGATGTACCTTTTAATTTCTTCCCCCAACTTTTTGATGCTCCTGACTTCTGCAGTTTACTTTTTGTAATTTTGTGTTGCTGAGTTCTTTGTATAGAAATCGTGATTGGTAGTGCTGTTGGTTATACTATTTTTCTTTGTATGTGATATTTAGAAGGGCATCTTAATCTCTAAAGTGGTTCTTTACATTTTGCTACAGACTCAAGATGTTGCAAAAGATTTTGGAGCTGTGTGCACACCTGAGTTTTTCCTTTTCCGAAAGGTACCCGTGTCCTATTATGGAACCTTTAAGTGTTTTATCTTGTCCCCATTATAGCTTTGGTCTTCGTAGTATCCCTTCATACTAACCTGCCATATATCTTTTACAGCCACTCTATTGTTTAGGCATACATGCTCATTTACTGTAGGTGTGAACGTATTTGATGTGAACTGTTAATTTAGACCTGCTTCATTACAGGACGGGCGTAGGCCTTTTGAGCTAGTGTACCATGGCCAGTTTGATGATTCACGGCCAAGTAATGATGTGCGGGTCACAGGAAGGTTGAACCTTTGACTTCTATCAGTGCCATACCAAGTTTGTGCAATTTTCTCTTGACCTGCTGCTTTTATGTGCAATTGTGCTAAGTAACTTCTATAATACTTGTTCAGGGACTTAAGCCTTGCAATAGACTGTGTTCTTAGTGGTCAGCCTGTGTCTTCAGATCAGAAACCAAGGTAATGTCTGCAACTCTTTTTCCTTCAAGTCTGATTTTACTTGTATAATTAAGTGAGAAAACACAAAACAAAAAGAAATAGAAATTGATTTACATTTTGTAGGATACTAAATTCCTCTTTACTTTAGCATTGGGTGCAGTATAAAGTGGCATCCCAAGGCACAGCTGTGATTATTCCTGCTGGAGTCAGCTTTTATAAGGTAACTATGAAATATGCTTCTAGTTGAGCAAGATCCATTTGGAGAAACTCTTTTGTTCTATTTCTTTAGTTCTCCTTCCGATCTTTTGCCGTCATCTTTTGGTCCATGAACTTGTATGACAAAAACTGGTATTTTACTCCAACTAATACTCAAAATTTGAGTCTTTACGCATTCCATCATTACTAAACAGATCTTTTTTTGTATGAGATTGTGTTCTTGTACTCTGTGTTTCTGGTTGCTTATTGATTCTTAAGATCTGTCAAATATCAAACTTTACTAGGCGTTTTGCTGAATTTTATATGCTCATAGATGTATTGTCATCAATGGAACACGTTAGGCATTTAATTTTGAAGTCTCTTTCTAAATTCTTTTTCTTTACGTGTGAGCTATCAATTAACTGTCCTTTTCTTTGCCTTCGTCCGCCAGCTGAGAGTCACATGCAAGCGATGCTATAAGGGATCTGTTCACACCATTAGGACCCTTTTGTCTCCATCACTGTGTAATTTTTTTTTTTTTTGGGTGCAGAGAGACTTTTTAAGTAGTTGATGGTGTTGATGGAGGACTTCATACTTTAGCATAAATTTGTAAAATTGATTTCTGATGTACCCTTTTAAAAGTACCTTAGTTTGTGGTTTTGACAGTCAAATCATCCGATGCAGTGAAGAGTGAGTGTGAGAAAACCACATTTGTATGACTCTGCTATGTTGTACGTGGGCTCTTTATACTCCTTGCAGGGAAGTGCTTATCAACCTAAACATCAGATGTTATGCATCCTTAGCCATTGAAGCTTGATAGCTTACTGTGACCTACCAGTGGGACTGAGAAGTTTTGCCATCACATGCCGAAAAGCAACGTATCTTTCAGAAGATGAAACTGTATCTCCCTTTATCTTTAGTGAAAGCAATGTTGGAAGAATTGGTAAGGTGTGATGGTCTATTTGGTTCCTACTAATTATAAGCTCCATTTGCTTCCTGCCAACCAAGATTTCGTCCCTTTCGTGTCTATCCCAGCTCTTCCCCAAAACAACCCATGGGATTGATAGCTACTTCTCCATTTCTGGGACCCATTGTAAAGTATGCATGTTTAACTTAATGCAGGCTTGAAAGATGTTTGTAGCTGCTGATAGCGACTTCCTTTATTCTGAATCATTGTATGGATATTATTTCATTATCTTAACCTTCTGGTTTTGAATAATTGATGTAAATTCACCAATGACAGAGATATGCTTGCTTAGCCCTTGATTGAATTTGAAATTGTTTAAATCACCGTCCTAGAAACTGATAGAGGAGAGACATATTTTTGGAGGGAAAAAGATCCAGATATAGGGAGAGTAGGTTATACATTATATTGTCCACTATCAAATCATCAGCACTGTCTGACCATGGAGTCTGAGTTCAAATGAAAAGAAAATGAACATGAAGGTTGATTGGTTCTTGCACCTCTCTGGAGGTGGAGGGAATTTGTGCTTGGGCAGAAAGGGAATGGTTTTGTAAAGTGCTTCAATCAAGTTACAGCTCCTTGGAATCAGATCATGGGCTTTGAATCCTCCCTACCTAAACAAATTAAATCTTAATCAAGTTATTAGGAGGTGGAAACTCTGAAATCATAATACAATGACGAAATGGAGTGTTAATCTGACAAGAAAAATTTTTTTATTTACCTACACAGTTTATTAGTAACTTGGAAAGAATCAAAGGACCAAAAAAAAAAAAAAAAATCCCGACAATGAATGAGATCTAACTATTCTGACTGCTGGGAGGGAGATCTAATTAGGGGTTCAGAAGATCTTGAGAAACTAGAACAATGAACCGCTGCTTTGGTGTTGGAAACCATTGCTTTCTGCAGAGAATTTGGCTTCTCAAAATCCTCATTCTCATGCCTGATTTCTCTGAGCATTGCCGTAACATCTTTCATTGTTGGTCTATCATCAGGACTGGGGTTCACACAGAGTAGAGCCACCCCAAGCACTTGAAGCATTTCTTGTGTTTGTGTTGCAGACAGTAGAAGTAGCTGTTGATCAAGAATTGACGTAAATTCTCTGTGCTTTATTCGCATCTCCCGGTGAACCCAAGTGACAATGTGGGCACCATTTGGAATCCTGGGATCATTTGGTTCCATCCCTGTTAGGACTTCAAGAAGCACAATGCCATAGCTGTATACATCACTCTTCCCTGTGATTCTCATACTGTATCCATATTCTGCAAGGTGGGACATAATAAAGTTAGTCACCAAGCACAAAGTTATGATAATATCAAATCTTGAACTTCATCTATGAACAACTCGCGATAAGTCTGATTTAGTGGTTATCGACAAATGTGGATACGTCTGAGTATCCTTTGAGAAGAAACTTTTACCTTCTTGTCGGAAACAAAGAAACTGTCCTGAGAAGTTTCTTAATGAGAAAATTAAGAAGCATCATTTTGTGTATTTGATGAATTGAAGAACCAGTTTGATGTATAGAATGTAAAATGGTCGTGGAGTGTCTTGATTATGCTCAAATTTATTGTCGAAATTTAGAAGAAAATATGTCAACTAGAACTTGAATATGTGAAGCTTATTTCCTTACCAGGAGCAATATAGCCATAGGAACCCGCCACAATGTTTGAAGCTCTCGAATAATCTGCTGAATCTACAAGCTTTGCCAGTCCAAAATCAGCGAGGAAAGCTTCATACTGTGGACCAACCAAAATATTGTTGGCCTTGATATCGCGGTGAACAATTGGAGGGATACAGTCATGGTGCAGATAAGCCAAACCATCAGCTGCTCCAAGTATGATTTTATACCTTGCATCCCAATCCAAGTATATCATCTTACCATGAAGAACTTTTGCCAAACTCCCATTACTGATGTAATCAAACAATAGCAATCTAGTTTTTCCATTGTTACAGCAGCCCAGAAGTCTCACTATATTTTTGTGCCTGATTGATCCCAGTGCTCTAACTTCTGCAGAAAACAAGTCCCTCTGCGGAATTTCTCCAATCTTCTTGGGCCAAAGTTTTTTTACTGCAATAAACTGCCGTACTGGGATCTCCACTCGATAAACAACACCTGAGCCACCCTTCCCAACAATGTTAGATTCAGTAAGCTTTCCTAAAATATCATTGACAGAGAAGTTCAGCTTCTGGAATGGCGTGAAATCCCACTGGAGTCCAGTCTCTTCATCACTCTTTCTGCATATCTCATCATGACCTCTAATGTAGAAGATTGCTCCAACTGTGAAGATTATAATAGTCAAAACAACACTGAGAACAACTAAGATAGTGAGGTTCCTGATGGACTTCCTGTTCTGGTTTCCACTGAAGTGACATCGGTCTCTGTCAATGCAGAGCTCTTGGTTACCAGCAAAAGAAGCATTTGGGAGATCATGAAAGAGTTTCGTATTGGGAAGTACACCTGAAAAATTGTTGTAGGAAACATTCAAGGAAACAAGATTGTCAAGGTTACCAAGTGCTCTCAAGCTTCCTGTCAACATGTTGTGGGAAAGGTCCATGTTTGCTAGCTTTGAAAAATTTGAAAAGCTTTCTGGGATGGGCCCTATCAAGAAATTCCAGCTTAAGTTCAATAGGATATCTAACCCTTGCAGTTGACCAATCTCATCTGGGATTAAACCACTGATACTATTTCTGCTTACATCCAGCAACTGTAAGTCCTTACAGAGGCCTAATGACTTAGGTATCAAACCGTTGATGTTATTTCCATTCAGTAAAAGTTTATTTAATGATGTGAGCTTGCCTATACTTTCAGGGATGTTGCCTGAAATTCTATTCATTGAAAGATCCAACACATTCAGTTGAGATAGTGAGACAAAAGATAGAGGAACTGTGCCTTCAAGCTTATTCTCATGGAGATCGATCATTTCCAGCTGCATGCAATTTCCAATTTCGAAAGGAATAGCTCCAGTAAATTGATTTTCTGCCAACTCGAGGAAGCCCAAATTTTGTAAGAGCCCAATTTCTGAAGGAATTTGACTATCAAACATGTTTGATCCTAATCTTAATCGGTTTAGGCTGGTACAATTGCCAATGTCTGGTGGAAGTCCTCCAGAAAGCAGATTGGAAAGCAGCAGCAGCTTGGACAAGTTCCTCAGATTATACAGATTCTTTGGAACTGATCCGGTGAGGTAGTTGTGAGAAAGGTCCAAGCTTTGAAGCTTCTGGCAATTGGCTAATTCGGCTGGTATGCTTCCATTCAGCTGATTCTGCCAGGCAAAGAACAAATTAAGCTCCATTAAGTTCCCAATAGTTCTTGGAATCTCGCCAGAAAAATTGTTGTTATCCACTTCAAGTTGCGTCAAGCTAGAAAAGTTGCCAATGTACTCTGGAATTCCACCAGAAATAGAATTATCAGACAAGAGGAGCTCCTCCAGTGTGATCAAATTTTCAAGGGAAGAAGGTACCTCTCCACTCAGAAAATTCAAAGATAAGTCGATCACAGTCAAGCTTGAACAGTTTCCTAGATCTTCTGGAATGGAACCTCTCAGGTTGTTCTGCCACACCAACAACCTTTTTAGATTCTTAAGCATTCCCATCCCAACTGGTAGTCCTCCAGAAATTTGATTTTCATAGATAAAAAGATTTTCCAATGCTGAGCAATTACCAATTTCTGGTGGGATCTCACCAGTGAGATTTGCTGTATATACTGAAAGAGTCTTGAGATTCTTCAGTTCTCCAATACTATGCGGAATCTGACCTGATATCCCAGTATCTGCAAGACCCAAAATAGTTAAGTTTACGCACTTTGATATTTCCACTGGAATTTCTCCATGAATTCCAATATTGCCACCAATACGAAAGATTTCCAGAGCATTTAGGTGGCTGATTTCCACGGGAAGTTTTCCAGAAAACTGGTTGTCAAAAAGTTCAAGCTGCCTCAGTTGTGAGCAGTTTCCTATTTCTTCAGGTATTCCACCATGCAACGAATTCGAATTCAATGACAGTACCCGCAAATTCGGTAACTTTCCTATTTCAGGTGGTATCATCCCTGTTAGAGCATTAAAACTGAGGTCTACTGTGGCCAGAGACGACATATTTCCAATGGCTGGTGGGATTTCTCCTGTCAGGTTTCCATTTGTGAGTACAAGGACAGTAAGAAAGTTGAATGAGAGGACTTGACTAGGAAGTGAAGTGGGAAGATTGATCGAAGTGATAGTGATTTCTGAAACAAAACCACCGCTAGTGCATTTGATGTAATCCCATTTGCATGGATTTTGATGAGTTACATCCCAAGAAGAGAAGAAATTGGCAGAAGAGGAAGAGTTGAAGGTTGCAAGCCATGACAAGAGAGAGAGACCTTCTTGGTTCAAAGCAAAGATGGCAGGGAATAAAGAAGCACTCAGATATAGAAGGATGGTAATCTCTCTGTTTGGCATGATGAGAAAGTTGTTGTACTCTCTAGTATTCTTTTACAGCTTTTTCTGGATTAGTACTGCATTTACAAAAGAACTTCTGGAATGATATCTCTATCATGGCAGCAGTGTTGAAATACCATTGGTTTCTTTCAAGAATTATTTAATAAACTGATGTCCTTGAACCTTTTTGCATCAGCATAAAGGCAAACAAATCCTCTTCCACACAGATTTTGTCAAGTTCTATCAGTAACAGTGCATATGAGAGAGAGAGAGAGAGAGATATCAGATGGCTCAGCTTTGATGTGATGATGTGGAAATGTTGGGAGTGCAGGCATACCTTTATGGATGTTTTATAGTTCTATTATGGTACTGTTTACCTTGTGCCTATACTAGGAAAATTTCAATGCACAGGCATGGCATTTACTCTTTTGGAGAGACATTAAAAAAGTTCAGACTTTGTAGTTAAAGAGTTGTGTTGCTACATATCACATATGTAGATTACTCTTTGGAGCTTATTATCCCTTTTCTTTATAATTCCAGGTCTCAAAGAAACTTGGATGATCAGGAAATTGATGTCATGGCAGTGAAATTCTTTCTATACTTGAGCAATTATAGTAAATTTGGGGTTTTCTTAGGAAGTACAAGTGTAGCTTTCTTTGTGTCTAGTAATCAGCTAATCATTGCAGAAAGGAAGAGTATAAATGCACTTTAAGCACCCCATGTTTGAGACTTGAGCTTGATTACACAATCATCACATCCATGCACGTTAGATGTACCCAATTTGGATGTCTGTTTTAGCAATTCCCACTAAGTTTGGATTATTGGTTGGGCAATCATTCAAGGATT